CAAAATGAAAGCAAGTAAAATGGTTTGGTATGACATGGACATGTGGCCACATGTAACATGTCTAGATAAGCTTGATAATTGCATCTTCCTCCACCTAATTGGTTGACGTCCCTGACAATTGATTATTCAAATTTTGCAATGTGGATCGTGTCGGAATCCAGGTCTTCAATGCATTCTCAACTTGTTTCCTTTGTAGGGAGGTTCTTCCATTTGATGAGGAATTTCTGAACTTTTCGTATAGGTCTTCCAACTTTCTAACTCTGTCAGCTAGGATCATTTCGACTTCCCTTGCGTATTTCTGTCTTAGTTCTATTATGGATCTGGTGATGGAATTACAATTGCCATCATCTGGATCAGGGTGTTAAGAATTTAGGTCATTCACATGGATTATTGGGTGAATTTTCATCCACGTAGGCAATGACACCCTGTAAGACAGTCCCAATTTTCTTGAGAATTTTGATTGGACCTTCGTACTTTCTAACAAGTCTTTGGTTCTTTCTATTGCCAAAACGGATTTGTTCTAGTCTCATCTTGATAAGGACTTGATATTCTACCCAAAATTAGAGGACACGACTCTTCCAATCCCTCCCATTTCGTCATGTGTTTGGAAGCTTTTTCTAAGTAAGCCCAAGCTATATGTGTTGTATGCTTCCATTCTCTTATGAAGTTTTGGGCTTAAGGATTCTTTCCTAGATATGGGTGGTCAATGACATGGAATGGTTACCACCTTCCACTTACAATTTCTAAGGGGCTCTTCCCTGTTGATAAACTAGTTTGACAATTAAAGCAGAATTGGACTACTTCTAGTAAATGTACCCAATTTGTTTTATGAGCACCAATGAAGTGATGCAAATATTCTTCTAGTAAACAGCTGAATCACTCGATTTGTCCATTTGTTTGGGGTGATAGCTTGAAGAGATATTCAAAGTTGTCTCTAAAAACGTGAATAACTCTATCCAGAATGTCCCAATAAATTTGTCATCTTTGTCACTATTGATACTTGACGGAATGCCTCACGGGTTTATAATATGTTTAATGACAATTGGGCAATCAATTTGGTCGAGCATATCTTTGGTGTGAGTACTGATGTGGTATATTTTGAGAATCAATTGATGATGACCAAGATGACTTCATGTTCACCTACCGTTGGGGGGCGTATAATGATGTCCAGCAACATACTTTTCCAAGATCTTGTTGGCACTAGCAAAAGTTTGAGGTGTCCCGAGCCTCGGGCTTTTCAACTTTGTCTTGTTGGAAAATGAAGCATGTCTTGGTATATTGCATTGTGTCATCTCACATATTTGGCTAAAAGTATCCATATTTCACTAAGGTATAAATTTGTTACAATCCTAGGTGATCGGCCCATAAGGTATCATGCCATTCTTGGATAAGTTTCTTTCTTAGCTCTTCTGCCTTTTAGATATATAGCCTATTTCCTTTTGTTAGCATAAGGTCTCCTTCGAACCAAAACAATCTAGTCTTCTCGACTGTGACAAGATAAACAACCACCTTTGTGGAAGGATCTTTTTGTTAGTGTTCTCGTATTATATCTCACATTGATTTTTCGCCCGAAGACGGGATAGATCTAGAGTAGGTGCCACAAAGAGACAACCTAGGGTCAAAGCTTCCATCTATTCTATGTCTTTTGTCCCGTTCTTGTTTTGTACTCCGCTCCCTTTTTGTATTTAAACTCAAACTCTATTTTAGATATTATGTATGTAACTATTTGTTTGTGTGTTTTTAATTAATTGAGTCACTTATTTTAAAAAGAAAATTTTTTTACCGTATTTTTACTCCCTCAAATTAGCCCTTGTCATGATCTACGTTCTCGACAACTCCAAAATCAAAACATGACAAATTGGTATCAATACACCTAGATCTTGGGATCTAATAAATAGACTTGTCTATGAATAGACTCATCCTTTCTCTATAGCTCAGCTCGAGATACGCCCCCCGTCAGATTCTATGGCCCAATAAGAACTTATGTATGCTATAGAAAAGTTTTAAGTATGGCTTTAAGTTTTAAAGACTTTAGTTGCACGATTTAGGGTTACAGTAAACTTTGGGTACCTAAGAATAAATGAGTAACCCTATATAGTTCTTATGATAGATAATCCATCTAGAAGAAGAGCACTAAGCCAATAAATCATCAAATGAGGAGTAAGCATCCAAGGTAGAGATGCACCAAGCCCAAGCATAGAACGCGAAGACAAACACAACTGGGCCTATTCCCAATCTGGCTGCATCCCCATTTAAGCAAACTATCAAGTTCACTCTGGAGGCCCTATAATCTTTTATGAGGACAACAATGGAAACTCAAACAAGCCCGATATCGAAGGTTGTCTCGATTCGCGAGGGAATTTTAGGGGACCACATAAGAGTCTCAGTTCTTACTACAACTTAAGAAGCTAATCCACCGAAGATTGATAGAGGATGATGAATCCACTATTTAAGACTCCAAGTGAGGTTAAGGTACTCAGGTATCAAAGTTTCAAAAGAATTCTAAGGCTTTTGAAAAAGGTTCAAAGAAATAGTAAGTATAAAGGGCCAAACTAGGAAAAAGAATCTCTGCCACCAAAATCAACTATTGGTATTCAAAGATGAGGTCCAGTTCCGTGCAAACTTCATCTATGAATAAAAAGTTTTTTACAATACTTTAAGACAAGAATAGAGTGATGATTTAAAATATAATTTTTCTTATTCATAAGTTCTTCAAAATTAAGGAGCCATAGTTAAACATTTAGTATTAAACCAATTCCTTACCCTTTCTAAATCAGCTTCCAACAAGTATTATGGAGGATTCAAGAACTGAAAACGGACCAAACACATTTCCTCAATTCAAGCTTTCATTGTGGCCGAAAAGATAATTTTTTTCATTTTAATTTGAGGCTATAGGTAATGTTGTCCCTGTAAATTAGTTACATTCACTTTTTGGGGGTAATCTAAAATTTGGTCCCTACACACAAACACATGCTTATACCATTAGCTTCGTGGCAATGAGAAAAAAAAAATTCATGAAAAAATTGGCCGAGGTAAAGATGTCCCTATTTTTCTACCCAATAAACTTCAGAATCGGGTGAAAACTGGGTTAAGCACCAAGAGTTCGGTTCGTGAAGTTGGAGATTTCCACATGAATTCATCATTCCAAAATGAATTTTCCAGATTGAGGGGAAGATTAGGAAAAAATCTCATGAAGAGGCTTAATAATGTCCAAAAATGTGTTGGAATAAGCTTAAATGGTAAAAAGTAGTTTAATTTGGTTAATTTTAGTAAGTTTTTGAAATTGAGCAGCAAAAAAAAAAGAGAGGATTATGGTAGGGAAGAGTGGGTTGATGGGATAACCCTATTTAGCCTTTATAAAAATCTATAAATTAATTTATTTTTTATGGTAAAAAATAAAGCAGAAGAGCAAAGAGTAAGAGTGCAGAGAACAAAAAGTACAAAGCAATAGAAAAAGGTTTTTTAGAATTCTTTGTCTTCTTGTCTCTCCCCTCTCAACATCTCCTTCACAGTTTCATGAGTGTTATTTTAACAAATCAGTATTAGAGCGAGCTTTTATTTCTACAAATTGGTATCATAGCGAGCTTTTATTCCTACAAATTGATATTAGAGCCGATGACGAATATGATGGGACAAATGCCGCTACCATGATTAACAAAGACAAACTACAAGATGCGGGTTGTGGAGAAAATCTTGAGGTCGTTAACCGACAACTTCGAGAATGTTGTATGTGCGATAGAAAAGTCAAAGGACCTAGCGACGTTCACGATCGATGAGCTCGCCGGTTCTCTCAAGGCACACGAGCAACATAAGAAAAAGAAGGAGAAGACACTTGATCAAGCGCTTCAGACTAAGGCATCAATAAAGGATGAAAAGGTACTCTACTCTCAAAATATTCAAGGTAGAGGTCGAGGAAGTCACGGAAATGGTCAAGGTGGTCAAGACAGCAGAAATGAAGAAATTTTAAGGAGAAGAGACAGTCGAGCTAAGCAAATTGGTGTAGAAGAGGACGTAATCAAGGATGCGGTCAAGGATATAATTCCAACATCCAGTATTACAAATGTAAAAAATATGGCCACTATGCAAATAATTGTAACTCCGAAAAATGTTACAATTGTGGCAGAATGGGGCATGTTGCAAAAGCTTGTCGAGCTAGAAAAAAGGGTGGAAGGAGCAACCAACCTAGCCTTGGAAGATGTAACAAATGCAGGTTTTCTCTTGATAGCTCAAGATGAAGATAACATCAACAACGACACTCTGTGGTACCTTGACTCAGGGGCAAGTAACCATATGTGCGGTCATGAGTACCTATTCAAAGAGATGCAAAAGATTGAAGATGGTCACGTGTCATTTGGAGGTGCGTCAAAGGTGGAGGTCAAAGGCCAAGGTACAATACATTTCTTGCAAAAGGATGGTGTATTGGGGTCAATCCAAGATGTTTATTACATACCAGACCTCAAGACCAACATATTGAGTATGGGACAACTCACAGAGAAAGGTTATTCGATATTCTTAAAGGACCACCTGCTACACCAGAAGGATAAGAAAGGGCGTTTGGTTGCTCGAGTTGAGATATGAAGAAATCGGATGTACAAATTGAACTTAAGAAGCATACGAGAAAAGTGTTTGCGAGTCGACGTAGAAGACAAGACATCATTGTGGCATCTCCATTTTGGTCACTTACATCAGGGCGGTCTAAAGGAGTTAGCGAAGAAGAATATGGTACATGGGCTACCAAACATGGACTTTGAAGGAAAATTTTGTGAAGAATTCTTGCTCAGCAAGCATGCGAGAACCTCAATTCAAAAGAAGGATGAATTTTGGGCTAAACAACCTCTCAAGTTGATCCATATAGATATATGTGGACCAATTACCCCCGAATCCTTCAGTGGAAAGAGGTATTTCATTTCCTTTATCGATGATTACTCACGGAAACTTGGGCTTACTTTCTGAAAGGAAAATCCAAGGCATTTGAGGTGTTCAAAAAGTTCAAAGTAATGATGGAGAAGGAAACTGGTAGACATATCAAAGCTGTACGATCCGATAGAGGTGGCGAGTATACTTCGATGGCTTTCATGGAGTACTGCGAGGAGAAAGGCATAAGGCGATTTCTAACTGCACCTTACACCCCTCAACAAAATGGTGTGGTTGAGAGAAAGAATCGGACCATTCTCGACATGGTTCGCTCAATGCTCAAGAGCAAAAAGATGCCGAAGGAATTTTGGGCAAAAGCAGTGCAATGCGCCATCTACGTACATAATCGATATCCACATGCGAAGTTAGATGATCAAACACCACTAGAGACTTGAAGCGGACAAAAGCTTACAATCTCTCATCTCAAAATATTCAGTAGTGTGGCTTATGCTCATGTACTAGATCAACGAAGAATGAAGCTCGAAGACAAAAGTAAAAGGTATATCTTTATTGGATATGATGAGAAGACAAAAGGATACAAACTACTTGATCTGATTAGCAAGATGGTGATAGTGAGTCGCGATGTGCGAGTAAATGAAGCAAACGAATGGGACTAGAACAATTCGACGGAAGTCAATATCGAAGTTAGAGAATCATCAGTCGCTGTACCAACAAGTGCACCAACAGACTTAGAAATTTTTGATGATGAAGATGAACCACGACAACCCAAATTGCGAAATTTGTGAGATTTTTATGACTAAACAAATGAGGTATACCTTGAATGTCTTATGGCTGATGCTGAAAATATCAGCTTTGAAGAGGCGGTGCGAGACTCGAAGTGACTGAGCTGAGTGAGAGTTCCTCCTATGTCAAACAGGAGAAGGAAGAGAATGGGAAGGTAATCTCTAAACTTGTGAAGAAAGTTGAAGAAGGTGTGGAGAAAGAGAATGACTTGTTAATGGAGATTGATGCTCTAGTGAACGAACTAGTGAAGGAGGAGAAAGATATAGAGATGCTGACTCAACAAAGAGACTCACTCGACGTGAACCTGAATCGAGTCCAACAGGAGACAGTGAATTTACGATACACGATTGAGATACTCACTCCTGATAAAGTCGAAATGGAGGAAGCAAAAATGGAAGTTGAAAATGTCATTGTGGACTTGTGAAGAGAATTGAGTAAACTAAATGAAGTTATGATGTTTGAGTCAAGCGTGGTTGAGAACAGGAGAAATGAGGAGTTGGTGTCTCAAATGGGCTGTTCTCGATAGCTCCAAATGAAGTCTCATTAGAAAAGAACAAGCTCAGTTTGTCGCTCGAGGACAAAGAGAGAAAATTGAAGAAACCACGACTGAGCTCGAGAAAAAGAAAATGGCTCAGGTGGAATCATTGAATATAGCATTTAAGTTTAGGGGGAGTTTTGTTGGAATAAGTTTTAATTCAGTTAATTTTAGTAAGTTTTTGAAATTGAGTCATACAAAAAATGAAAGGCTAATAATTACTAAAAAGAGTAGGATTATGGGACCACCCTTTTTAGCATTTAGAAAATCTATAAATTACTTTGTTTTGTAGGGTAGAAAAAGAGCAAAGAGCAAAAGTGCTGAGAACAAAAAGTATAGAGCAATAGAAAAAGGTTTTTCAGAATTCTGTCTCCTTGTCTCTCCCCCTCTCAGCATCTCCTTCATAGTTTCGTGGGTGTTATTTTAACAAGTTAGTATCAGAGCGAGCTTTTATTCCTACAAAATATTTTGACCAATAACAATTTTTTAAATTTCTTCTCTAGAAAGAGTAACATTTTTCGGCAAACTTTCGAGGCTTATGAATTTGGCTACCGCCCATGCTAAGGTTAGTTCTTGGTTGACCCTCACTCCTCTTTGCAACATAATCTTCAAGTTTTATGAAGGAATGGAAAGAAGATTTATGAAGGAATCCAAAACTATGACATCTCTTGATTTTTTAAAAAATTAATCCTTTTGTAGACGTGTTCCCATGAAATTCTTGATGCTTCTAAAAATTAGACTCAAAGATAGATATATCAAAGAAAATTTGGAATGATTCGATTACTGGAAGCTCGATAACGGAGGTCCTAAACGTCAATGATGAGATAGGCAGTCAATCTAAGAAATTTCTTGGATTTCAATATGAACCTTAAGTTAAGTAATATTTAAACGATTATGGAAGAATTAAGTCAAGAACCATGTGTTAAGGATCTAAACCAATCGTTTTGCTTTAAAATCAAGTAACTGTAACGTAATGCACTAAATAAAATTTTCTGCTCATTAAATTTTACTTCTAGCATAATATACATGTTAAGGTTGTATGCAAGATTTGGTGGTCACTAGATGAGGTTAAGGAGCTAAACCAAGTAACGATGACAAATGATCATAATGCCCTTATGGTAACTTAAAGTCGGTTCATGACCTAAATCACCTCTAAATAATACGAGATTTTAATAGAAGGCATAAGGTGACATGTTAGGGTTAGGTATGAAATTTGATTGTTATTGGATAAATCTAACAAGCTAAACCAAAAGATAAATGGTAAAATAACCAAATGCACCTATAGTAATGTAAGGCCAATTTGTGACTTAAATGACCTCTATATGAAATGATATTTTATAAGAATGCTCCCTTGAAACGCATGAAGTCTTAAATGTAGGTTTAGACTGGGTCATGTAAAATGCATTAAGTCTTGGTCACAGGTTAAGGTTAAGGTTCATATCTTATAATGTAAATTCTAGGAAAATCTCTTATAAAGCAGAACAAAAACAAAAAACAAGAATAAGAACAAGAAGCCATAACCCATAACCCAGACAAAAACAAGGACAATAATCAAGAAAAAGAACTAAAAGCAAGAATAAGAACTAAAACATGGATTAAGATCCAAATTTACATGGCAAAGAACTCAAAACCTTGGAACCAAGATTCTTGGATTTGAACCAAGGTTAAAAATTCAAAACCCTAGACTAAGGTCCTTAAACCCGACCATGAAAAGAACTCAGTAATGGAACCTAGGGAACCTAGAGACCTAAGTTCTTGAAACAAGAACAATAATATGACATCAAAGAGTGGGTACTCTAGTATATCTCATGTACACGATTAAGAATCTAGAAGTAGACTACTTACTACATACTAGATTTTTGTATTCATTTTAATACCCTCATATTTTTTCAGGTGATAAGAAAGAGCTTGTCAAGAATCGAAAGGGATTTGGAACAGGTGCCATATAGAGCCGCCATGTGCTTGAATGGCTTGAAAATTTGGAATTGGGACTTTGTAAGGCATTTTGGTTAATAACCTTAAGAAGAATATATGAAGAGAAAGTCGAGTTTAGGCAACAAGGTGGAAGTAATCTAAAAAAAGATTGGAATAGGGAATTTTATGAAGCTAACATTTGTGAGACAAGGTGATGAATCATTGCTTAAAGATGAGCAACCGTTCAAGTTAGGGGTATAATTGTAACAACCCAAAATTATTTACTTAATTTAAGGTCGCTACTTTATACGTACCATAGACATTGAATGCGAAAGACTTCATTTAAATTTCATAAAACATAACTTTTATCTTAAAACACAGTCATGGACTTACTTGTTTCGAAAACATCTTTAAAATGACACAACAAAAGACTAAATAAAATAAATAAGCGTTTAGGTTAAAAGCATCCTATTCTACCCTAAGTCTAAGAAAATAAATACCACTATCCTATGCATGTGCCATGGTCTCGAGTTGCGATGCTGTCGTCAGCCGTACAAGGATATCTTGCCTTAACCTAAAAAATGTAGTAACACATGGCTTAAGTATTTAAAAAAAAAAATACTCAGTAAGTGACCCTACTATTGGGGGTTAAATGCAAGAACATGCGACTGCAATCACGGGACCTATCATTTCAATCCATTTTCCTACAGTGTTGTCCTAACAGGTAATTTAAACGTGTACCATATACTCTACACACAGCCCATACGTGCGAGTATGGGCTCACCAGTTAGTTCGCACACCGCTGGGTCACTTTCTTGGTTGGGCGAGCATACTCTGGGAGCTCCTTAGGCCGGACACCTGTTAGAACTAGTAACCGTCACGGTAGCGCTATGCAAAACATAACGATTGTTGTCCTGCCATTGGATGTACGCGTCCGTACCCTTGTGATGAAATAGAGGTATCCCCCCAAATGCATGAGCACACATAATGCACGAGGTCCCCAATATTTCTACTTTTATTATTAATGTATATAACTCTGTTATCATCTTTCATGCTTAACATGTCATTTCTCATTTTTCACTCTACGTATCATACACCATCCTAATGGGGTTACATTTTATTTCATTTATAATGATATCATGTCATTCATAACATGTTGTATACATACAATTTAGAAAACATAACATAATGCTCCATGCTTTTAACATGTCATTTTATAACGTGCAATTCATACAACAATTACCTCAATGGTCACACAAAACAATCTAAACATAACACATCCTATCACAATATATCGTATCATAAACATGTCATATCGTAAACACTTCGTGCTCATATCGTTCCCTAACTTATCATAGCCTTAACGTTCTTATACCTATCACAGTCATATCATTACGTGAACGTACCTTAGTCATATCATCACAGGAACATATCCTAACGCTATCGTTCTATCAATCTATCACAAACCTATCCCTTTTTACCCATATTCTAACTATATTCTTTCCTCAATCTCTCCTATCCATAGCACTCCAGTATGTAACTTAACCTTAACGTTTCGTGAACGTATCTTACTCCTATCGTTACATTTCATTTTGTGCATCCTTCTCGTATTCTATCTTAAACATATCCTTGAACACATCGTACCACAATTATTATCATACAATTCACATATTATAACATAACATAAACATAATATAAGCATAACGATTTACAGATAATTCACACATATCAGTATATATGACACGTGCAGAACCACAAGCACGTGTCAACATCAAATATAATCATGCCGATAGTAAGGCCATTTACCTGGTTAGCTTAAGTTGTTATCACGAATATATTCTTTATGAAAGTTCGAGTCTATCCTTCGAAATCCAAGTCAACCTATGTGAGCCCAAGACATCAGTTTCAAGTTTGAACTTTGTAAATTATTTTTCTAATTTACATTGGCTCATTGTTCAAAGTTTTGAAATATTATATATCTATAATTATATTTTATTCACAATCTTATTTTCCATAGTTACTGTTCTAAAAGAAAAAAAGTATAGAGTTATTTCAAGTTATTCTACTTCTTACTCTTCTGTATTTACTTCTCTCTATATTTAGTTTGTGGTTCTCTATATTTAGTTTATTGTTTTTAATTCTTGAATTTTCCTTTTTTTTTATATATATTTACTATGTTGCCCTTTTAATTTTGTTCTCCTGTATTCCAAATTTCCGCTGGATCCCTGTTTCCAAATTTTTCCTTATCTAAGTGTTTCTATTTTAACTGTTAAAATTGATCGTGCTCGGTTCTTAACCCTTAGTGAGCATGCACTTATCTTTATTATAGATTTTAACGTCTATCTCATTTTATGACGTTGAAAATAACCTATAACATGCATCTAACATGCTTTATATAACAATTTATATAATCATCCATTCCATGCAATAATATAACAATTTATATCTATCACTCATGGAACCCTAAGACATGCATACTATACATTATAACACTTATAACATACTTGGAATGCATGAAACATGCTTAGCCTATGGTGAGATTTTAAATCTATATGACATACTTTATGCATATACATTTTCTATTTAATTAAAACATACATTCATAATGCATAATTAATTAAACACACTAAAGTGGGTTGGTTTTGGCATTTTAAAGCAAGCAATTAACTAAATTATTACATTAATAATTAAAAATAACTTGAGCCGCTTCCGAGGATCATGAACTGGGCGAACCAACCTTTAAAAACGTTGAATTGGTCCCCAACGATAGAAAAAACACCCGAACCGCCTCTTCCATCTTCTTCGGTTCAGCTTGCTATCTCTTCAATTTTCGATCAATTACAACCTAAAATGGACTCTAATGACTCCATAAAAATTACAAACCTTTCTTCATTCATTAAAGCCCATACGCCTTAGGCTTATTACAATAATTGTATCAAATGGAAGCATAAAAAAAATGCCAAAACATAAACCAT